CTTCGTGCTACAACATTTCTTTGTCGCTCAGATTTCTTACTGCAAAATGGATTATCCCAAATTTATGTCTGCAAAATATACACAGAGTGAAACTGAATATGTTGATAGCTCTCCATGGGAAGCCTGTACAAAATACACTAGTGGAATCCATATTTCTGGAATGTTGGTCCAAAGTAGTGGATGTGCTGCAAAATTTATCCTTTTCTAGAGCTGTTCTGCATTGTCCTAATTTTTATTCATTTTCACTTTTTGGTAGGACTGGGGAAGAGAATATAATAGAGGTTGGAACAGCATTCCATCTGAAAAAAAAGATCATGTGATGAGTTATTCCCAAAAAGGGTTAGCGTGCAACAGAGAAGAGTGACTGAGAAAGGGTGTTTTTAACTTTACAGCTTTGGAAGCTCTGTGTGCTCTGATTAAAGTTTAACTTTTGATTATAATTTTTGATCAAGGGTTTGGCAAATAAAAATTCTATCATTTTCAGTCATTTGCAGGTCTATGCTCTGTACTGAGTGACCAAGTTATTTCATGAATACATGTGCACATCTCCTGAAGTCTGGCTTCTACATCTGCATGATTTTAGTATTAATTTATATTTCAGTAAAATAGATGAGCAGTCCTGATTCCATAAATGCAATTGGATTAATTGCTATACAGTGTTACAGGACTGCATATTGCAAAATACAGAATGTCCTAAGTCAAACTTTCTGTGCATGAGAATGGCCCTTTATGCTTGGCTGCCTACTTGAAATTCTGTCACATTGTTTATGCAATTAAATATTCTTTGCAATGTCATATATTAAAAAATGTATTAGTACTGCTAGTGGGTATCTGGCAGGCAGCTAGTTTTGCCCTCCTGTAAGTGACTAAGACTATACATGTGGCTGTACATAAATTGATAAAAAACATAATATGACATATTGACCGCATGTATGTTGCACATATAATGCAAATGGCAATGTTTATGACACTTTGTGTAACTTGCAAAACTGTACTTAGTTTTCACAAGACGGAAGACTGGAATAGGCTTGATTGATTTTTAATTTCTGTAACTATTCCAAGAAGTGATTAAAACAAGTTAAAAACTGAACAACAAGCAACCCCTATTTTTATAAATGAAGAGACCACCTGGCACTTAAAAATTATTCCACAATTTTGATGGTAGTTTCAACAAAATTCTTTGATTTGCACAAATTTTCTAATTAAAACTTAGCATGTTTGAAAATTACAAGTGAACTAAAGTGACCTTTTATAATAATAATGTGATCTTGGTGATATATTTCCCTACCCAGGCCTGATGGCTTCAGAAATCCTTTTATTTACTGTTTAACACTTCTGGCTCAAGACAGGATGCTGATTCACTGAGCACCCAGTGTTTATGCAATCTACCATTCTGTCAGTGTTGCATCTCATCTCTCTCAATCTAGGAACTAATGCTGGCCACAAAGTTTTCCAGCTCTGGTGGAACTGCCTTAATGTATTAGCAAAGGAGCTGCCTAAGCAGGAAAGAATTGTAGAGAACCAGGGAAGGAGGGAAGAAAAGCAAAAAAGTATTTAAAACAGCAAAACTTTTGAACAGAATTCATATGAGGATAAATGTTATAGAAATGACAGGGATGGGCAGTAAGCATAGAAGCTTGAAAAGAAGCTGTGTCAACTGCAGGAAACAGATCTGTATCCCTCCCAGAAGACTTTGTCTTGAAGTAAAAGAAGAACTGGTATGTTAGCTGATGGAGAGAATGAAGCAGGGAAGTATTTACAGTTTTATTTTTAATAGATCTGTGTACTTCTTGTAGTGTTGATTAAAATCAGTAACAATCTGGAATTCAGCATGAAATCTGTTTGTGCTTTTATTGTGTAGCTCTGGAAAGGATAACTGTAGAGCCAATTTTCTGCTCTCTGTTGCCATCAGCCCAGAGGCAAGAAAGCTCATCCTTAAACTGCAGCTTGTAGGAATTTTGCATTCTCAAAGTCCCAGTGGGACCCAGGATATGGGCAGTACCAGCACTCTGCTCCCTTCCTGGGTTCTAAGGATAAGTACTGCTGCTGCAGTGGCTTGAGAGCGTTTAACAAGAGTGTGTTAGAGAGAATTACATTTGATCAATCATATTTTCAGATGTCTATTTAGTAGAGCAAAAGGGAATTTAAAGTGCTAGGTCACATTGAAAAATCATCAGGTCAGGTCTCATGGGAACTCACACAATGGCCTGTGCCAAGAAGAAAAGACGGTATCCTTCAGCCACAGTGACAGCCTACAAACACAGCTGTACTAACCTCCTTGGGAAATGCAGCCAATCTTAGGATAAGATAGTGAGGTCTCGAGGTCATGGTCAAGGGTCTTTTTCTCTTGCAAGAGAATAGACTTCCAAAAGAGACCAAGATAATCAAGGGTTGGACTACTATCTGAATTTCTGTGAGGTCCTGTTCTGTGGCAGAGCACTACTGTCTCATCAGTGTAAAACTGAATAGATTCTTTTCTGGACTGAGAAAAATCATTCTTTGTGCAAGGATAAGAGAGGACTTCTGGGAACTCAAGAGAATTAATTGTAAAAGTGTGACTGTATCGTGTAAAATAAGTGTACTGAGTGCTGAAGAAATCCACAACATAGAGGCATGTTCACAATCACATTATTTGGTTTTTCAAAAAAATGTCCAAGGCACACATAGGACCCAGTGACAACATTCTTGAGCTAAAAAATGAAAATAAATGCAGACAAAGAAGAACTGCCAAATTTACTTTAAAATATGGAAGAAGTTAATTTCCACACAGGATTAAGATGAATCTAGAGTTATATTACTTTATTAAGGTAGTGTGATAATATGGTATGTTGACCTTGGCTAGCCTGATAGGTGCCCACCTACCAATTCCCTGCCTCAACAGGAGATGTGACAAAAGGCTTGTGGGTCAAGACAAGGACAGGGATATGACTCAGTAATAACCATCACAGGCAAAACAGAGTCAGTGTGGGGAATTAATTTAATTTATTGCAAATCAAAAGGACAGAGTAGGATGACAGGAAATAAAACCAAATCTTAAAACACATTTCCCACACTGGTCCTTTCTTTCCAGGCTCAGCTTTACTCTTGACTTCTTTATCTCCTCCTCCCAAGCAGTGCAGAGGGATGGGGAACAGGGGTTCAGGTCAGCTCATAATGCTTTGTCTGCTGTACCTTTGTTCTCATACTCATCCCCTAGCATGGGGTCCCTCCCATGGGAGACAGTCTTTCACAAACCTATACAATATAGGTCCTTCCCATGGATTGCAGTTCTTCATGAACTGCTCCAGTATGGGTCTTTTCCATGGGATGCAGTCCTTTAGGGAACAGACTGCTCCAGTGTGGGTCCCCAGATGGGATCACAGGTCCTGCCAGAAAGCCTGCTTCATCATAGCCTCCTCTCCATGGGGTCACAGGTCCTGTCAGGAGCCGGCTCCGGCATGGGCTTTTTCTTCATAGGTTCACAGTTTCCTTCAGGGAGCACCCACTTGCTCCAACATGGGGTCCTCCACAGGCTGCAGGATGGTTATCTGCTCCATGGGCTGCAGTAGCACATCCTGCCTCACCGTGGTCTTCACCACTAGCAGCAGGGGAATCTCTGCTCTGGTGCCTGGAGCACCTCCTTGCCCTCCTTCTTCAATGACCCTGGAGTCTGTGTGGGAGGCAGCTGGGGAGAAAAATGATCTAGGCTGGAAGGACAGCCTATCTAACACACTGGGTGCCGTGTGCCCAGGAAAGATCCAGTGTGCATGTTTATGTGCTGCTACGTGCAAGGAAATCTGAAGCAGCAGCTGGAGTGGGACTGGGTGGTCTGGGGAGCAGTGTGTGCAGGTGTCAGCAGCTGGGGAGATCTGGGATCCATGGTCATTACTGGACAGGCTGCACATCTAAGCCAAACTACTGAGAGAACTGTAGTGATGTGAGTGAGGAGATCTGTACCAGGCACTGGAGTGGGGGCCATATGTCTAGGGTACAGCTGCAGGGGAGATCAGAGATCCAGGTATCAGCCAATGCATAGTGTGTGTCTGTGAGTGTGGTCTGTAAGAGCAACCAGAGTGGGATTGCAAGTCTTGGGAGCTTAGACGTCCAGGGTAAAGCAGTGGGGGACACTGCGGATCCAGGTTTAGACTGAGTATCTAAGCTCAGCTGTCGGAGAGATGCACATTATATGTATGCATATATTTCCTACTAATGGACTTGCATCCTGATTAGCCAAAGGGCAACAAGATGAGGCCATTGGTGCTGTTTCTGTGAGTGTTGAGTATTTCTGGCTGTAGTGACCTGTATAGCTGTCTATGTGTGTATATGCACACGTTTCAGAAATGGGTTTGAATGTGCCTACCAAGAATACATGTTTAGTCTCACGACCAAGTACCAAGACGGGCTGGGGCATGAAGAGATTGAGAGCAGCCCTGCAGAGAAGGACTTGGCAGTGTTTGTGGATGATTTTGTTTTGTGCTCTTATGAGAGATCACAAGTGCATTTACCCACCTCTACCACAAAACCTCCATTGGTAGTACAGCTAATCTCAATCCTAAAATGAAGGTGCCTTTAGAGCTCCTTTATGACATTCTGGGTCATTTCAATAATTGCCTTAAGTTGCTGAAATCAGAGTTCATAAGCTAGTTCTATAATAGTTTGCAAACTATTGTTATGCTTCTTGAAGCAAGGACAGGTATATGACCAATTAAAAAAATTAGCCATATAGCTCTTCTGCATTTGAAAAATCGAGACTCTCTTGCACACCAACATTTTGCTTTCCTCCTCTCCCTCACCTCTGCAGGTAGATTGTTTTAATTTTATTACAGCCCACCAAGCTCTGCGGGGTCATTAGACTCTGGTTACAAATCCACGAATGAGGATGCACAAGCGTTCATCAGATTTCTGCTGACTCCTGAACTGTCTCTGCGCTCTAGGATTTGGGATGGGGTTGCTCTAGGCTAGGTTGGTGGCTGCGCCTCTCCGCTGTGCCAGCCCAGGCAAGCAGGCAAACTGAGGGAAGGCGACGTTTTTATGGAATGCCCACTGCGCCACACAGCCCAGCCTTTCACACGGTTTTCAGCTACGTCGACAACCCCAGCTTCAAGCACAAGCGGAAACCCGGCCCGAAACCTGCCGGAGCCTGCAGGACACAGAGGACCCCGGCGCCCCTGGGTGTCTCGGGAAGGGGGCACAGGCTGCTCGGGGCGGCCGAGGCTCCACCTGCCGCTGCGCACCTGCCGCCGCGCGCCGGGCACCGCGCCGGGCACCGCGCGGGGCACAGCGGCGGGCGCGGCGGCCCATGTAAGGCAGCAACGGCGGCAGCCCCCGCGCGCCGCCTCGGTCCGGGCGCGGGGCGGGCGCGGCCTCTCCCCGAACGGGCCGCGCGCGGCCTATGGGCGCTCGCGGCGGGCGGCGCCGGGCGCCCGCCAATGCCCGCACGGGGGGGGCGGTGCCGCCGCAACCGCCGCGCCAGCCCCGAGAGCAGCGGCCGCTGCCCACAGCGCCGGACGCAGCCCGGGCGAGAGCCCCCGAGACCTGCCGCCCCTCCACAGCCGGCGGTGAGTGCGGGGCCGGCTCTCCCGGGGGCGAGGCGAGCCCCGCGCTGCTGGGGGTGGGTGGGGTGCGTGTCCTGTGTCATGTCCACTGTGCCCGCTCCCTCCTTCGTATCGCGCCGGTGATCGATCGCCGCTCGCTTATCGAGGGCGCGAGAGTAGGAGGTGATGCCGGGGGGCTGCCGGCCCCGGTGCCCCCAAGCCGATGCCCGTCCCCATCGGAGGGGCGCCCAGCCCAGCCCAGCGCAGCCCGACCCGCCACCGCCTTTGCCGTTATGTAACGGCCGCGGGGGGCTGTGTGCGCCGCTCCCCTCCTTGGGCTTCATCCCCGCGCTGCCACCCCGATCTTCGGCGTGTCCCCCGCTCCCCTCCGGTCACCGCGGGGAGGGAGCTGGCGGGGAGGGGGGCTGGGCGTGGGGCTGCACACCTTCCCCTGCCATCGGAGTGGGCTCCGCCAGCCGCATCCCCCGGTCGCCATCGCGAGGGACGCGCGGCGGCAGCCCCGTGGGGCCCGGGAGCGGCTTCACCGCTCCCGGCGGCGCCACGGCGGCAGGTCCATGATGGAGGTTGGCTGCGGGCGGGTGCCGAGCCCGGCGCTGCCGCCGCGGGCATCTCCCGGAGGAGCCGGGGAAGGAGCCACCTTGCGCACCACACACCGAACGCTCCGCTGCGCTCCGGAGCCGACAACAAAGCCTCGGCCGCCGCCGCCGTCGCTGCTGCTGCTGCGTGCGCTTGTGTAGAGGCAGCAGTCCCCTTTTATGGAGACCAGTGGGTAGAGGCGACTTGCCTTTCTTTTTTTTTTTTTTTTTCCCTTTAAATGATGAAGGAGCTCTGTCTCCGAGAGCCTCTCCTGTATAGCGTCCTCCGCGAAAAGCAGCATCAGGTGTGGAAGACTATTTAGGGGCTGGGTAAAAGCTCTTGTACCTTGGTGAAATTATTCCGAAGGGAAGTTGGATGGGCGCTACGAGGTGCTGAACACACATGTGAAAAGCGTCTTAAACGCTGACAGCTTCGATTCTTGCAGGAGATGCTGCTGACAACCAGTTTCCCTGTTCGTGTTTTGCAGGCTCTGCATGGGCAGTTCTGGGAGGGGGCAGTTTTTTTCGGGTTTTACCGAGGATTGCATAACTGCTCATGTTTATTTGAAAAGGAAAGGAGGAGCAAACCCAACCCCCAACCTGAAATGAAATACATGATGTATGTCTTTTACTGAGCCTTCACACAGTTTTCTCAACTAGCATTAAATATCATGTTTTAGATGGTTGGAAAGGGTTAGCATCATAATGTAACATTAAGGCTTGGTTTTAGTTTTCCCTCTATTGCTGTGAAAACTTTGGGGAAAACCGGAGAGATACCTATACGCTTTCATAGTTTCAGGCTTAAAATAGCATGGCTGTTTATCAAATGTGTACGACTTGCTTTTAAAATGATAATGACCATTTCATTCTTCCTTTAGCGATGAGCCACTTTTTAATGTTTTTATAGGCCCTACCCCAATGCAACCTTGCCTCTCCACAGTCCATAATAAAATGGTGTTTTGAATGCTTTTGTACATCTTTGGGTCACAGTCAAATGCTTTTAAATAGTCTGTCATTTGTAACTGCTGAAGTGTATGTCCAGTATTAAATTATAGTACAGTGTAATGCTTAGACAGCATGCTATGCAAGGATCAAATTGCAGATAAAGTTCACATAGGAATCTCCTACAGTGCTTGCACTTGACTCTTGTAAATCTAAGAAAAGATATTTATAAATGGAAATATACATCCAGCAAGTAGTTGTTTCTGTGTCCAATTTAATCTGTGGATTGACTGTGGTCAAAAATAATGTCTTTTTATTTAATTTAATTTTTAGTAGATAGATTCATTCCAGTTACTTTCTGTAGGCAAGTGTATGATAGAAGTTATTTTTGCTTCTTGTATCTTGAGCTTAATTTGAAAAAAAAAAAGGATTTTTTAAGGAGAGAGGGAGACGGTTATGTTAACATTACTGTGTTCTCATTGTAGGTAGAAGCAATTAATTGTAGTTAGTATATCTCATAGTGCTTCAGAGAATAAGCCATACGATGGTTAAACTTGATAACTTTCTCTAGGATGATAAACTAGAATACAAATTAAAATAATATCAGATATTCTTCTTACTTATAACACTTTGATTATGTAAGTCTTCAGTGTGAGGATGTTACTGTATTCACAAGCCTCTATCTCTCTATATACTATTATATATATTTCATATATGATAACAAGAACAGCCATTCTGTGGTGTAGTCAGTCACTCAGTGATGTCACGTCCTTTCTTTTTGTACATGCCTGCTGGTTGCAGGCTTGCATAAATGGAATGGACTGTTTTCAGCAAGCAACAAAGTTTGGGTTTTTTGTCCCCCCAAAATCCATTTTTATACTATGCATAGCTGAAGTTAAATGCAGGTATACAGTTTTCACCCCTACTGTTTCTCTGCCATGCTGCCATGGCCACTATGGGCATTAGTGCTTTTAGGTGCCTCTGCTAGTTAGTTGAAATATTTTGCTTATTGTTTGTATTGCGTAGTGTCTGGGAGCTGTGGTCAGGGACCTTAACTAATGATTATGTCCGATATAACCATGGAATAAAAGCTTGAGCCCAGCCTCCAAAGTATTATGATCCAAAATACAGAATAAGTGATGCAAAAAAGGAATCAGGTTAAGAAGGATACACTGGTACATTTGTGCATTATTCAGCTGTGTACTTTCTCATTCTCATATGTTAGAGCAAAGGGAATTGTAGAACTAAAGGTAAGACTTGCACCATTCTCTGAGGGGCATTCTTGGAACATGTGAATGGCTTGTTTGTAGGGGATCTTAAAATGTGTTTGACTTCACTAAATTCTGAAACTAAAAAAATTACATCAACCCAATATGAAAAAATTTATCTTCAGACTACTTAATTTTCACAATTTTTAAAATTTAAGGTAATATTTTAAAATTTTGAAATGGAGTTTTCATTTCAAATTCAAAGTCTTGTATGGGAAAAATCACATTATTTTGCCTTCTCCCAGTGTTTTCTAGCTGCTAGCTCTTTCTTCCTCTCATCCCCCTCATGTGCCGAAACCTCCACAAAATACATAATAACAAATATACCCTCAGCTGTAAGAAATTTCTGAGTGAATGCATCATTCTGCCCATCCGAAATTGCCCAAACATAGAAGTACTGCAAGAATTTGCTATTTCAATATAGTCTGGTTATTGGAATACTTTGAAATAGTAGTGAAGATAACTGTACATTGAGAGGATGTTATTGGTAAAATCCCCCTGTATAAATATGATCTTTAAGTACCCGGGGCCTGTACATGTGTTACAGGACAAGCGTGCGTATCCTGCTCAGGTTTTAGGACATCATTCTGAGTGGGTGTTTATCTCAAGTGCTGACAGAGCAGAACAGACTGATTTTCTGCTACTCATTTTTCTTGACTCACAGTGCTATGTCCATCAAAACAGATGGGAAGTTTTTCTTTATTGTTAGTTGTTACGTGTAGTGAGTGGGCAATTCACTTGGCTGCTGCTAAGAGGGGTTCTTAACTGTGTCAGGATTCTGAGGCAGCTGTGAAGAAGCTTAGGCTCTTAGTCTTGCTAGTTGTCTTAAGGTTCCCTCTTCTTTTTCTTTTCCTTCTCATCTTTCTCCTGCCTCATGGTATTCTGAGGTATGATTTGAGTTTACCTTGCCCTGTATAGAAACCAAAGAGCTAGCAACCAAGAGTGTACAGACCAAAGTTACAATGCATTATGTAGGAGATGAAAAGACAAAAATGAATCTGCAGTATAACTGTTCTAAATAATCTCATGAAGTTAATTCCTGCCCAGTTTGACTAATCTCAAGATTAGCCAATATGCTAATGTGTCAGTGTTCACATATTGGAGCATTTGGCAAAATGAGCATAGAGAAGCTTGAAAAAAAAATCAAGGATGTAGCAGTTTTTGCTTGAATCTCTGAGGGTTGCAGTCCTCCTTCAAGGTCTTAAATGGTGTTTTATTGGATCAATGCTAATGAAATTCTTGCAATGGAAATGAAAATACTAAGAGGTCTTGCTCAGAAAATTATTATTTCCTTGTTGTTTACTCTGTTCATTTTTAATTTAAAAACAAATATGTTTCTGCCTGTCTCATCTGATGTCACTATTAGAAGGACTAGTACCCAAATATTTCACCTTAGAGGAGCTTATAGATGTGAAAGAACTTACTGATGATTTAGCAAAGGAAATAATTAATTCTTATTTTATATCAAGCTGTGGGTAGTTGAAAAAATTCTGTACTTAAAGGTTGGTTTATTTTCTTGGATTTAGACAAAACTGAGTAGCAGACTTTAAGAACATAATGGATCTTTGGACAATCTAATCTGATTCATGCATTGGTTATTTTCAGTTAGTTATCTGGGAGCAGTAACCTACACTAATAGAAGTCTGCCTTTCAGAGATGTTTGATGAAGTGTGTCTTCTGTATTAAATGAAGTCTAATGTGGAGACATGAGGACGTGAAGTATTTGCAGCTATTCTTGGAAGTTCCCTTTAGTATCTGGCATGGTTGATTGTCCTTCCTAAGGAAGTCATATTTCTAATTTGCACTGGCATGCCCTGAATTTTCAGCTGTTGAGTTTTTTTGAGTTCTTTGACAGTAAAGAGCTATTTAGTATGTGATAACCATTTAGTATGTGATTCAATTTCTCTACAAAGGTATTTGGATCTCTCATTCAAGTGACTTCTGTCACTTAAAGAATTCCACTAATGTAATTTGTAAAGTCTCTTCTGGTAAAACATCTTGTCTCATGATTTTGGAGCTCTTATATCATCTCCAGTTCTTTGATCAGAGGTGATGCTTTCAAGTCTGTAAGTCTCTGTTAGCTCAAATATATCTAATGCTGTCCCTGTCAGTAGCATCAGTCTTGTTATCTAGATGCTTTTTACCTGTACCATCTTGCTGGAGTTTGAAGTGCTCTTGCTGTATGATCTCTTATGTCCTTTCATGGAGTGGATCTTCATTACTCGTGGCTTTTCCAGAAATATTTTGAAA